TTTTTTATTTTTTTAACTAGGTGTATAGCATTATTTATTTCTAATTCCGTTATCGGGTCATCTAGCGGACTCGGATTTGCCTCACCTTTCCGCAACGTATCTAATTTGCATAATATATCTTTTTCAAAGGCAAGGTCGAAGGCTTGACGTTGTTGTCTGGATTTATCATGGAGGGCTTTAAAATGTTCCACCCATGTGTCACTTGGAATATCTTCTTGGGGTGTGGTATTGTCTTTTTTTAGTTTTTTAAGTAAGTTCCAGAACGCAGTGGGGTTGTTTTCTTGTAGATTTGCTAATTGTTCTAGACAACTATTTTCATGTTCTCTTTTGCGCATTCGGATAAGTTTATTATACTCCTTTTTCTTTTTAAAATAGCTACCTCTCAGAAACGGATTTTTTGGGTTTTGTATTAGAAGGTATCTCAAGTTTTTTAGTTCATTCCTGAAGACGTAGCAACTTTTATCGAACCATTTCTTGTTCGCTTTTGGCCTACTTGTCCTTTTAGTACATTTCATTTGTAGCGATGCTTGCATACAATTCACATGTGAAGCAACTGGAAACAGTAGTTAAATATGTCAAAGACCTGTAAGTGTCACCGTTATGTAAATTAGGATAAGGCCACATCAATTTAATTTCTTGGATAACGGATTTGCCGCTTCAGTTTTTTCTGATTTGCAAATAAAAATAAAAATTCAGAATCAACTGCAAAATGCTCATATTTTGCCCTGAACAGCTGTTGAAAACAGTCCTTTTCTTACTACTTGTTACAGTCATTCCATTTTTGAATGCAGTGCTATCATTAAAAGTTCAAAATTCATTGTTTAAATTTTGAACCAGCCTGGTGTGTTGACTTCATGGCTCCTATCGTACCATTTTGGGCCATAATAGGATGCCTAGGCCTGTTTTTATTTTTTTCGCCCACCCGTTCCATTATTTTTCTAGAAAAATCCGTTAACCAAGAAAATAAATTGGTGTGGCCTAATGTTAGTTCCTATGATAAGACAATGATACTGTCCCATCAGAAAAATATGAAATTCAAGCCAATCTTAGAGCCAATTGATTGAATTGGTCTGCCCTTATGTTTTTATGTATATCATTATGTACAAATGGATCAAATCTCACACAACCGGTTTACAACACAAAAGAACCAGAAATTCATAACGTGAATCTGATCCATACATACTGAACCTGGACTGCTGTAAACACATTCTACTCTAAACAATGGGAAATTAACTGGTTTCAAATTTTCATTATTTCAACCTTATAGGGAATATAAAGAATGCTGTAAGAAGAAAGCAAAACAAATCTGTCACTATTTCCATTTTTCTGAAATCAAATCCTAGATTACTTGAAAATCAAATCCTATATGACTTATAAGAATAACAAAGATCAGTCACTGACGAAAAGTAGTGGATGCTACTTGAAATGTCTGATGTTTTTCAAATTCTATCCAGTTGCTTGAGTATCTTTATCAATTTCTTTTGTATCTCATTACCTGGATGGCTAACCTTTGGATTTTTTAAAACCAAAGTTAACGTCATTTTTCCCCAACTGGGGGTTAGACGTGTTGCACCAGGTACAAGTTTTTTTTTGAAGCAGGATTTTTACGTCTGGACGCTCTTCCTAACGCCAACCCAAACCCTAGTAGGGCCTGGGATCCCTCTAACTGAGGGGGGAAATGCGTGTTAAGTGCCTTTCCCAAGGGCAATGACTACACTGGTATTGCCCACCCAAGAGATCATTCCAAACCCACCCATTTATACACAGCTAATTAAGCTGAAAAGTATGTGGGCAATACCCAATAACGACCGGAGATCAGCACCATGGAGAGAGCCTGATTAGTCAGGATATGAGACAGGCCTTCAGGGCACAACCAACGCATATCTGGGTTGTCATCCTGCATATTGGCAGAACACACTAAAAGGTAGGTAAAGGTAGTCCCATAGCCCTTTTTAAGGTTCTGGGCAGTTGGTGAATGAATGAATGGATGGATGGATGGATGGATGGATGGATGGATGGATGGATGGATGGATGGATGGATGGATGGATGGATGGATGGATGGATGGATGGATGGATGGATGAATGAATGAATGGATGAATGAATGAATGAATGAATGAAGCTTTATTTTCGTGTCGTGCGCTTTCCCGCGCCCAGCCCGTGTGGGCTTATACGACACCGTTTGAGTATAAGTAATACATAAACAAAAGAGAAACAAACAGAGGTACAGATAGCAGAATAAAAAAAAACATGAACACAAATAAAGGTAGGCTATATACAATAATGGTGAACAAAGTGAAATCTTAACAGATCATAAATGCAAATAAACAAATCCGTACATATTGCACCAAGATTTCACCAAGTGTTGGTTGTGATCTACTACATGTCAAGTCAAGGGTATTGGAAGGGTATTGGAAGGTGGAGCCCAACCCTCTCATTTCACTGCCTTTTACCTCCCCAAATGAAGTCAGGAAGCCATTTCTACCTCTTCTGGCATGTTATCTGTCTCTGAAGCCTAGTAGAGGCTGTGTGAAACTTGGATTTTTCAGTTTTTCTTGGATGTTTGGTCAATATTGCAGCAGAATTTTGCCTGTTGCAAATGATAATATTTTTGACAACTTTTGACAACTACCGCGGGTATATAGAAAGGATTTCATTCTTAATTTATGCAAAATACATGTGAAACCTTTAATGATAGGTTTTACCCATTGACAAGTGCTGTATACAATACTTTACATGTTTTGTGCAGGCACAGTACGTTCTGCCAACATGCTCCCATCACCTGGCGTGCACAATAGCTAATTTAATAACAAGATAGCTAGCACGTCTAACCCCCATTTTGGGGAAAATTGACGTTAAAATTGGATTTAAAAAAATGCTAAGGTAAAGACAACATATGCCTACCTGTGGTTTCTGGGTCAACTTTGATAAAATCATGGATACAGAAGTAGAAAAAAAGCAGTTCCAACAAACAATCTCTAATTGTAATTATTAAAATTTTCTAGGTGATTTTTTCATGGTTTCTACAGAATATTATGACATCACAATTATGTGCATTAATATTTTATAATGTATGCTGTAACCTTGGATTTAAAACACCCTAAAAAACTCCTCCCTCCTACTGCCCAATAAAATTACAGAAAAGTTAACAAGGTTACAGAAATCAGGGCTTGCTTTTGACATGGACATACATAATAGTCGCAAGACACGTAAATAAAAATTCATTCATTCATTTATTCATTCCATAGGGAACATTACGGCCATACCAATTTAATTTCTTGGTTAACGGATTTTTCTAGAAAAATAATGGAGCGGGCAGGCGAAAAAAAAATTAACACAGGCCTAAGCATCCTATTATGGCCCAAAATGGTACGATAGGAGCCATGAAACCAACACACCAGGCTGGTTCAAAATTTAAACAATGAATTTTGAACTTTTAATGATACCACTGCAATGAAAGATGGAATAACTGTAACAAGTAGGAAGAAAAGGACTGTTTTCAACTGTTCAGGGCAAAATATGAGCATTTTGCAGTTGATTCTGAATTTTTATTTCTATTTTCAAATCAGAAAAAAATGAATCCGTTAACCAAAAAATTAAATTGGTGTGGCCTAAGCCTTCACTCCTGTATATGAGGCTTTGTCACAGGTGGGTATTTCTATCCCTGACATACATAATTACAGTCTGACATACATGCAGGTACTAACATCACCAATTATAATTGTAAACACATCCAGCAAAAAAGCATTACCCCAATGGGACATGGCAGCACTAATAACTACTGCCAATTGGCCCACTTAGCTATAGTGTCTTGGAATACATTTAGATTGAAATATGGCTGGGAGTAAAGCAATTTTAGTTTGTGAGGAGAAATAACAGGTTTGATTTAAATGGTGCAAACTTAAGGTAAACATTGGTGTGAAATTATCTAAGCTAATATTTTATGATCTATATTATACTGTCACTCATTGAGAATTTCTAACTGCATAACAATAAAAACAATACAGTAAAAACCAATTTTTATTTCACCAGGGAAAACATTATTATCACCTGCTGGCAGTTTTCAATGTCGCCTGAGGGGGAACTTCAAACATAAATCATCAAAAAATGAAATCATCAATAATACGAAAGAACAAAAGGTTCATGCTTAACATAAGTTGATAAAGTAAGTGAAAAAGGAAATATAACATAATGGCAATGCAACGTTGAGCATAATAAAATAAAATCAGGATGGAAGTTTGCATATCAATGTTCAGTAGTCAAGGTCATAATTTTGATATTGTTTGAACTTAGCTAGCTAGAGATCTGGCTGATTTCAGATGATGTGATTGTGAGTTCCAAAACACTGCCTCAGAGGACGAAAGGGCTCATCAATTATGATAAACAAAAATGAAACTTACAAAGTGACATTGGTTATGACCTACAAATGCATCAAATGCTCTAAACTCCTTTCAAATCATATCTAATAATCTTTTTTTTTATTTTTTATTCCAACATGTAATCGCCAGACGTGGTGACGGCACACTCAAGTTTTATCAACTATATATTAATGCCGCCACCAACACGGGACAAATACATGACAGGACAATACTCATTTTCACCTGAGCTAAGTGAGGAAAGTCGTGTTTAAGTGCCTTTTCCAAGGGCACAAGATCGATGGCATGTCAGCACTCGAACTCGGGACCTCTAGGTTCCGAGTCGCGCACTCTGCTGCTATGCCACACGACCCCACCATATAATCTGTTTAAAAGCTACAATTCTGTCTACAGTGCTATTTTAATGCTGCAAGAAGTCAAGATTATTGAGACGTCAACAAACAAACAAACAAACAAACAAACAAACATACCTGAGCGTATGGGATATCGTCCGGTCAGGAAGGCTGCCCTGCTGGGGGTACAGACTGCGGCGGCCGCCAGATGCTGGGTCAGTTTCACACCGTTTGTAGCGATGCGGTCAATGTTGGGTGTCCTAAAACAAGCACAATATTCCTCTCACAATTTCTTCTTGATAGGTTCTTACAATGTTAGGCCACACCAATTTAATTTCTTGGTTAACGGATTCGCCCGCTTCTTTTTGTTCCAATTTGCAAAAAAAAAAAAAAATTTCAGAATCAACTGCAAAATGCTCATATTTTGCCCTAAACAGTTGAAAACACTCATTTTCTTCCTAGTTGTTACTGTACAGTTATTCCATCTTTCAATGCAATGGTATCATTAAAAGTTCAAATTTCATTGTTTAAATTTTGAACCAGCCTGGTGTGTTGACTTCATGGCTCCTATCGTACCATTTTGGGCCATAATAGGATGCCTAGGCCTGTTTTTATTTTTATTTTTCACCCGCCCGCTCCATTATTTTTCTAGAAAAATCCGTTGAGAAAGAAATTAAATTGGTGTGGCCTAATCAAGAAGTTTTTTTTTTGGTTTGTTAGATAAGGTGTTTCTTATGTTTTTAGACAGACACCAAAATCAATTTCATGGCTGCAGTAAAATCAAATTAAAGTCAATTTTTTGATCATTCCTTTTTATAATGTTACAGACTTATTAGATTATGTAGTCTGTGAGGCAAAAACATGATGTAGCTGACAGAAACAGTTGCTTGTTTTGTATTACATGCTTGTCCTACATGTGGTTACAATGTATTCATAATGGCACTCAAAACTGACTCCTCACATAGCATGTTTCGGAGCCATTTCAAATGCTTCAAGCATGAAATAATGGTAAAAAAATTTGTAAAGAAACGGCAGTAAAATTAATACATAATTATGAGATGGAGTTTCCTCATTCATAATATTTGTTGTTTTGCTGTCATTTTTTTTTTTAACGGTGTCGCTCAATGCCAGGCCAATTATTAAGTGAGTATAATGTAGTAACTGTTATGTCAGGAGATGGCAGTGGACCTTTGTTTTGAAGCTTTGTGGATTGTAGTCGGACGGAAAACATCTGTTTGGAAGAGAGTTCCATAATTTTGCAGACCAGGGAAAGAAGCTGTTGTTGTAAAATGACTTGGAGACAGGTATGTTAACGGTGTATTGATGAGAACTGGAAGAGAAAATTTGGCATTGGATGCCTTTTTGTAATCTTTCCAATGACTTTATGATGATCTGACATGCAGGTTGTGCATAAATAATCTTAACACCTTAAAACAGTCTAAGGTTTTATTGTCATGGATTTGGGATGGCTCAGGAAATACAAATATCAAATTACATGTTTCAGTAGCTAAAACATTAAAACGCATACAAATGTTTAAATTTCTGATTAGGTGTTAGTATTCTATAGCTAGGTGATAGAAAAATCCATCAATTTCAAGTGTACATGCACACTTGGGTAAACATGCCGATAGTAAATTTCCCTGGTGTAAACGTATGCCTAAAGCTAGAAATCATGCCAGATATTGGCTTGTAACAGCTATTTTTCATCTTCTGTGCCCCAGGGTTATTTCGGCACAGTTTCCATTCATTCAAATAAACCCCTCAGGTCAATTGAGTCTCAATATGAAAATATCATCATGATAGCTTAATGTAGGTCTAAACCAAGTCAACTTTTTGGTACATGTACTTCGGAATCCGTAGGAATCATACTGAGTCCATCTTTTGCAAACTGGTGGCCTTTCTGATGATGCACCTCAGAAGCAATGTACACAATTTCACAATCAAAACCAATCTTTTTAAAATTGCACCAAAATTGAAATAAAGATAGTCACACTACCTCTCGCCAAATAATGACTATGATTTTTCTCATTCATTATACAAAATAAGATCCTCATTTTCATTAATTATTCTGTTGATTATATTCTCCACCTGATTGTCTCATAACAAAGAGGACTATATTCTTAGTATATTTTGTGTTTCCTAATAAATTATGCAAATGAGGTCCTAATCATTTTGAAGTGTCTTCAAAACGTGCCCACCTGGCAAATATAAACTGAAGACAATCCATCCAAACTTCTCACATTATCATGTTGACAGATGGATGATTACACACACACACAAACAATAGCGAAAACATAACCTTCTTGGCAAAGGCAGTAATGCCAAACTGCAAATTCAAGTAACAGCTAGGCCACACCAATTTAATTTGTTGCTTCTCGGATTTTTTCAGAAAAAAACAGGGGCGACAGGGCGAAAAAAAAAAAACAGGCCAATTGCAAGGCACCCCATGAAGGCCGGAAATGTTACAATATGAGCCATGAAGTGAACATACCAGACTGGTTTATAATTAAAACAATAGATTTTGAACTTTTAATGAAACAAAATTGCATTGTTAAATTGAAAAACTGAAGAACTAGGAAAAAAATGACTTTTTCCAACTGTTAGGGCCAAAATATGTCTTTCATTGAGCATTTTGCAATAATTTAGAACAAAAAATTTTTTTTTATTTGCAAATCAGAAAAAAATGGACAGGGCGATCCGAGATGCAACAAATTAAATTGGTGTGGCCTTACTGTTTTTGAATATAGTCTGGATTCAACCTTAAGTTTGTTTTCATTGCAATGCCCCTTTCTCAGCCTGGTAAATTTTGCGTTTATTTGACATATCCAAGAAACATTGAAATAAATTCATGTGGTCTAAACTTGCTACTTTAACAGAGTGCCTTAAGCATTGTGCAATTAGTTATTCCTACCACTTAATGTATCATATATCTGAGGCTTCCAGGAAAAAATATAATTGTCAGATCACCACCCTGGCTATCTTAATTTCTTTGTTACAGTAACTGTGTCGATTTCTTCTTAAGCTGCCTAGAATATAAAAAATTGGAAAATTGCTGGCGGGGCACAACAAATTGAATGTTGCGACTGACAGAAAATTGGGCTAATTCATCAAATGATTATGATAGAAGGCAGTCCAAGTCACTTGCTTGTATCTCAGACAACTTTACATACAAAACTATAGACTTGAGAGGAAGTTTAAATTTGACATTTTCTCATGTATGCTTGATTATTTCCAGAAAATGTGTACCAAAAGGCTTCTAGCCAGCCTGTCATATTTCAGGGCTTGAAATACTGCATGGGTGCATGTGCACCTTAGTGCACCCAAAATTGGAGCTGTGCACCCAAATGTTTTTGTAGGTACTTTTGTACACATCAGCTGTATAATAGTATGCAGGATATTGTTGGCATCTCAGTGTCAGAAAATATAAATAAAATCTTTGTTGAAGTAGTTGTTTAAGATTTTGAAGTTGGCTTCCAATTTTAAGATTCAAGCTCAGAAGAGGAGCAGTAAGATCTGTAATTTAAGGTTTTGTTTTATAGGATGCACCCAAAAATTTTTGTGCACCTAATTTTTTAGGTTGGGTGCACCGATGCACCTATTCCCAAAAATGAATTTCGAGCCCTGTATCTATTTATGTAACAGGCTCTCAGAAACGAAAGACTGAGAGGAAGGGTCCCCTGGGACAATTCTAAATCTTGACCCACTGAAAAGGAATTTTCCTGCATTTTGAGGGGCAAATTTTGCTGGTTAGCTTTAACTTAAGTTTAATGACATTGTCAATTTTTGTCCTGGATGATAATTTTTGTCTGTCATGAGGGGCAATTTTGTAAAATGATGGAAACTTAAGATGAATGCTGGCTAGACCCCTGCACAACATTCCCTCAGATTATATAATTATATATGATCAATATTCCAGTAAAGTATTACTGATATCACTCGTCTACTATAAATTACAAGTTGTTAAAATGGAGTACATGGGACCTGGGACCTCCACTTTCTTCCAATCTATTTTCTTGCATGTCATTGGTCGACCTGAACGTTGTCATAGCAACACATAAAGCCCATGATATGCCGAAAGGTCAAAAGACCTTAAGGCTACAACATTCTTAAGATTGCCAATTTTATCTTGGCAACTGGAATATTATGTGATATGCAGCTGTAAGGCCAAATGTTTGAATCATGGTGGAGAGTTTGTATCAGTTCTTATACTCAGTTTCAGGCAATGAATATTAATATTAACCTTCCCTCACCAGGCCTCTTTTTGCATGTGGTTCTAATCCTCAATTTTTATTTGAAATATTTGAAATCAAGGGACGAATTTGTATTGACCAAATAAATGTAGATTACACTTCTAATCCTCATTATTTGAAATATCTGAAATCAAGGGAGGAATTTGTATTGACCAAATAAATATAGATGATACTACACGTTGTATTCGGATTTCCGTATCGCCCGAGGTACCAGCCTGACCGCGGCCACCGGGCAATTCGATCTGCGGGAGGGCTGGGACCGAGGGTGATGCGGAATACACCGTGTTGTATTTTATTTATGTCATACTCATCCGAGAAAACAGACATTTCAATACGAAATGTACCAAAATTTGGTGAATCTAAACAAAAAGTGTAACGGTGTCAAGTCCAACATCTGAATTCGGTTTCGAAAGCAACGCACTCAGTGCGCACAACACACGGTCGAATTATTCTATGGAACATTTGGCAGCCCGGACCGTTCGCGTAAAGAACCCCGGGCCGTACCGCTAGTTATCACACGGGCTGGAACACCCGTATCGAACGTAATCACGGCCCAGGTATGATATAAAATGTATTATATTACCGCAAGACGGGTCACATAGTTTTACCAACTCCTGTTGAACTCAATGTATTATGATCTAGAGCAAGCATATTGTACGTATGCTTGCAAATATATTTCAATATAGCTAATGCAATACAGCAGCATTGCCCCAGGCCTACAAGTCTTGATAAGGCCACACCAAGTAAATTTATGGATGACGTCCGCGCGCGTATTGATTTCGGTCTGTTCCTAGAAAAAAAAACAAGAAATTTCGCTTCCTATAGAGTCACGACAGTGCCGCAAATCGTCAGATTGACATGAAACCCGTAACGCGAAAACAGGACAGGACAACAACTGCTGTTCCACCTGATTTATTGCTGTTTTGATGATGAATAAAAGACTTCTTGCTTGTTACACTGTGTCACCTCATTCAATTTGTGTCCTAACATTTGTCATCTCTTAGTATATTTCTGATCTAGGCCTCTAAGACTTGTTTTTTAGGGCCCTTCTTGTTTTTTTTTCCCTCTCGCATTGGATTTAGGGTCTCCAAAGGACGTCATCCATAAAATTTACTTGGTGCGCCTAAGTGTGCTGAACTCCTTTATGTACAAAATTAAAAGTTTGATACCAGAGGCTTCATCTCCAAAAAGACGTTTGGGCTTCAGCTTATTTTTGACAAAAGTCATGCTTTTTGTACTGGTTTCTTTTTTTTCCCTTGCCAGCCTAATGGAAATTGGCAAAGGGTAACTGTCTGGCAAATGGATACAGCCTGCATGGCCAATTTGATACAATTACAGTTACTGTAGTTTGCAGCCACCTAAAGATGTGCTTCAGGATATTACCAGAGACCAATGTTGCATGGAGCTGCCCGCTCATTAGAGCTGTGTACCGGTACGCAGTACCGATACTGTACCGGAAAAATTGATTAGGTACAGGTCCAAAATACCTAATCCCTCAGTACCGGTACTGTACCTAAACAATTTCACACTAATTTTATGCCTATTTGTGACCTCAAATGTTTAAATAGCTGGTTAACAATGGGTGCCTGTGTAAGGACAGTGTGTTCATGAAAACAAAAACATCTTAGTTTTGCCTATATTTTATCTGAGCATTCGCCATAAACAAAGAATAAACCTTAACTATCAAGTTTATTTATGTTTTTTTGTTATTGAAGGAGTTCAGAAGAGCATATAAATTGGTCGAATTGTTCAGGTACAGGTTCAGGTCCGGACCTGTACCTAAACCTGTGTACCTGTACCTGTACCTGTACCTAAAATTTGTTTAGGTACACAGCTCTACCGCTCATCATGAGATTTGAGTTTTGTTTTGAGTTTTATTCAGATCCACAATTAGCCTCATAAGAGGCTATTCTTCCTGTGGTCTACACATTCATATTTACATACATGTATTACAAACGTACAAAAACATTACAAAATTAACAGTACATGGCAAAATTTACACTATTTACAATCCAGTACTTTGCTAGTTGCCTATGTTATTCCACAACTGTTACTGTGACATCCTGTACATAAAGCGCTTTTTCTGAGAGTTTGATTTTGGTTTTGGTAGTCTGATTTTATTTGTACTGGTTGAACGTGTTCAGTACTTGTGAATCTCAGATTGGAATGTGATTTTGTCGTACAAGGCCTTTGGTTGTTTGGTGAGCATGATACGTTTAAACTTAAACTAATATCTTATATAAAGAATACAATCCCTCACACCAAAACGAGCCTTACCTGATTGTTGTGTTTCCAAAACAGCCCACATCTCCAATCCCCAAGTCATCCACCATAAACAGGAGGAAGTTTGGCTTCTGCTGGACTTTTCTTCCATCTCCGTCCACCAGTGACAGTTGTGAACCGACGGTCAGCATCAGGACCAGTACAGCCGGTGACATGGCGGCCTGCGATCGATAGAGTCTCATCATTGATGTGCCTCGGATGATTGTCTGGAACAAGCAATGATGTGATCAGTCACTGGGACAGGATGTTACATGGAACATGACATGAATATGATATACGATCATGATGATATCATTAGTCATCTACCATTTTACAGGTGATTGCAGCAGAAAGTGTTTATATCTGGGCGATATATGAATTATCAAACTACCTGTGTCAGAGAGAATTTGTAAATATTTCTCCTCAAATGCAGTGGAAGACGAAATTCATTTCATCTCTAACTGTCCATTTTATGACGACATCAGAAAACAATTATTTACCACCGTGTCCAAAATGACTTCCCGACCATTCCCTACCACAAAAAAAAATTTCACTACTAAAATCAAAGAACCCACATATTATAGAAGAAGTGGGTAAATTCGTCTTCCATTGCCTAAAAAGAAGAAGTCAAACCCAGTATAAAACTAGTACCATGTATGTTGTAGAATATAGTATAATGCTAGACGTACAAAATGTAGATATAGTCTCACATACCACTGTATTTTCTTTCTAATTTATTGTTGTTTGTAACTGCAATTAGCCCTCGGGCATGTATTTGCAATAAAATATAGTATCACTCCAGGTAACAAGCTGGTCTTGGGGTTAGAGTTGTCTAGTAGTAGTACATTTGTACATAAAACCTAAAGGTTCTAGGTTTGATGATCCATGATAGAAATTTTCTATTAGGCCACACCAATTAAATTTGTTGGTTCTCAGATTTTTTCAGAAAAAAATATGAACTTAATAATAATGAAGCAGGGCAAAAAAACAGGTCAAGGCAATTCCTAATCCCCAAATGCTACATTTTTTTGTACAATAGGAGCCATCATTAAGTCAACACAAAAGGCTGGGTTAGAATTTGAAAAATGAATTCTGAACTTTTGAATCAAACCACTGCATTGATAGATAGAAAAACTGTGACAGCTAGGAAGAAAAGGACTTTCCTCAACTGTTGACTTACACTGTTGGGGGCAAAATATGAGCAATTTGAGTTGATTCAGAACCAGAATCTTTTTTTTTTTTCCAAATCAGAAAAAAACGAAGAGGCAAATCCGAGAAACAACAAATTAAATTGGTGTGTCCTTACAAAATGTTGGGAATCTAAGTAGCAGCTATATAATATCATGTTTCTTTTTTAAATTAATCCCACAAGGAGACTTTTCCTACAGGAAGCATCCTTTAGTAACTTCAAGTCTACATTTTCTTCTTATATCATATCATATTAGGTCATTTCTTTTATGACCAGAAGTCAGCGGACAGCAGTTTCAAAAGGAAGTAATTTGCAGCCTTGAAATGTCCTATTAAAGTCAGACTCTCCAAACCTCTTATCCATCAAAAACAGCTCTTCTGACAGGACTGAGAAATGTGGTGGTGCATACAGATCACAGATACAGCAGGCCAGGGGGTAATGGCACAGCAGGGAGCTAAGAATAGCCTGACTCTAGGTTAAACCAGGGTTGTGATTTCTAGTGCACACTGTGGCAGAAACTAGCAATAAGGCAATACCAATTTCATCTTTTTTTAATCTGATTTTAAAAAAATGAAAAAAAAGTTCTGAACTAGAAATTAAAGTAACATTTGCAAAGCAAATGCATCATGTTTACCCTCGGATATGGTCTGCTCTGTTAATTCTTACTCAAACACATTCACATACATGTACATGTATATGGTGGCAGGAGCCTACTATTAGTAAATGCCTACTATGAAATTGCAACATTGTATGTAACCCAACACCAGTTACTATGGTGACAGACGTCAGAGGTTAGTGTTTGAAACAGAAGAAGAAGAGGAAGAAGAAATGGAGCAAAAACAATATGTCTGTTTTCCTTTGGTTAACATAATCAATGAATCAATGATCATACAGGTGTATTTTGGCCAACAGGTGTAAGAAAGTCCATTGTCTTTCTAGATAAATACATGCACATACTCAGATAAATACATTTTTTCATTCATCAATGCAGTAGATTGTGCAAAGTCCCATCCTTCAAATTGGCAAGGTTTCATTCCATTTCCTCATTAATTAAGCAAATGTACATATACACTACACCAACACACATCATGTAATATATGCAAAGGAAGGTTAACCCTAAACTAACTTAGTAATACGCATATCACATTCAAGTATGAAATGCCCATCATAAGCAGTGATTATACAAATTAGGTCATTATTTGCATATCTAGTACTGGTAACCATTAATGTTCAACTTGCCATACATGTAGATTACATACATTGTATCAAAGTCCTATTAGGCCACACCAATTTAATTTCTTGGTTAACGGATTTTTCTAGAAAAGTAATGGAGCGGGCGGGCGAAAAAAAAACAAAAACAGGCCTAGGCATCCTATTATGGCCCAAAATGGTACGATAGGAGCCATAAAGTCGACACACCAGGCTGGTTCAAAATTTAAACAATAAATTTAATGATACCATTGCATTGAAAGATGGAACAACTGTAACAACTAGGATGTAAAGGACTGTTTCCAACTGTTCAGGGCAAAAGATGAGCATTTTACAGTTGATTCTGAATTTTTATTTTTATTTGCAAATCAGAAAAAAATGAAGCGGCGAATCCGTTAACCAAGAAATTGAATTGATGTGGCCTTATGGAAAAAAATGGAAGAAAAAAATTGACTTAAGGGAGGGCCATGGAAAAAAATCTGGGCTGGGGGAGCCATGAAAATTTTTTTTCATGAATACTTTGTATGATTCTAGGTTCCTAGCTCTCAAAATATCCAATGCTTCTCAGAAATCCGTTGTGTTCTGGGCAGACTTACTAGTACATACTGTACCGCATAGTATCTATTGACAGTATTGTCATCCTACACTGAACTACATTCAGTGAATCCAGGGCTTGAAATACTTTTTTTCAGAATACAAATGTACAAGTCCTGCATTGGAAATTACCTACATCAGACAAATTTTACTTTCACCACTCAGACTTTAAAAAGTATGGATCATACTAAAAACTGTTCAGAAACTATTGCCAATATTCTTTAATTTATACTTCAGAGGTGGTAACGTTAACAATCAATGCACTCACTCACTATCTGTGCAGCAAATGAAAAATCAACATTCAGCTTATATAGATCTCAGTACAAGGATGATTGTAAGTAGCACGTCGGCAGAATGTAGAACCCCGATTTTTCACGATCTACATTGGATTTTTGGTCAACGTTGCCGTGGAACATCAGAATTTGGCCTGTTGCAGACGAAATTTTTTCAGACATTTGGAAACTACAGATGGAGTGTTGATCTTACATGCGCAAATACAACGGTTACCTTACTTAGTACATGTATATGAGACGTTCTTCCGAAGTGTTATGCACAATATATTACGGATTTCGCGCAGGTGCAGTACGTTCTGCCGACGTGCTATTGTAGGTAAGGTTAATTCGGGTTAGAAATGCCCAATACAGCACCAATTTTACCTGCACTAAGGTGCATAATGCACTCAATATTTCGAGCCCGCTGGTGGAATGTTACATGTAGTCCTTAAAACATTCCCTACGGCTTTATTCATAATTTCTAGGAAAATAAATGAACCAGTCCCTGTAATCCTCTGAAAGTAATGTTATACTATGTAACAGTAAACAGAGTTACACCCGAAGGAAAACATATTGTTTTTACTCAGTTTCTTCCTCCTCCTCTTCTGTTCCAAACACTAACCTCTGACCTGGCCAATGACATGATTTGTTGATGTCTGCCACCATGGTGACTGGTGTTGGGTTACATAATGTTGCAATTTCATGGTCTGCTCTACTCCTGTCACCATATATATATATATATATATATATATATGCATATACTTTTAGTACATGTACATGTATGTGAATGTGTTTAAGTAAAAATTAACAGGGCAGACCATGTCCGAAGGTACACATTATGCATTTGCTTTGCAATTCAGGTAGTACATCTTTCCACATTTCATCAAAAGAATGTCTACAAGATGAGAATTTACTTAGCCACACTCTCAAACAGATCCAGCAAACCAATCATTATATTTGGGTTGCCTACAGTAGTCAGGTCTGGCGTTCAATATTTCATTACTGAACCAACGTCATTTCCCAAGAACGAAGCTGAGATTGAATCCTTCATTCCTTGACGTATTAAATATGTATCACTGATCTCCCTGAATAAGCTGCACATGTGTGAACAATAAGGCCACTGAAAAACATTTTCTGGTTAAAAGACATCCAATGACCAGACAGTACAAGCATACATGTATATGATTGTATATAATGTGGGGCAGAAGTTTGTACAAAGTTTTGTACATCTAGTTAACAGAGTAGGTGTTGAAATGAAGGTGTAGACTGTATTAAATTCTTGTTTGCACAAAATGGCATATTTATTGCCTCTGGGGAAGGAGACATCCTTCCGCGGAAGGGCTTTGTGAGAGATTTAGATTTTCATGTTCGCAGCTGTTTCTCGCGTTTGGGTGGACGGGTTCTTTTGGGACTCGGTATAATATTGTTTTGCCATTGGGCTGTAGATGATGCACGTTCTTTGCGGATTTATGGTGTTTTTTGACTTGGATCGAACCCGGAAGTGTCTATATGGGGGCACGGTGTCAGGTAAAGGTAGCGAGTCACAAGTATGCAAATGAGTATTATGCAAACTTTTGCATACGTGCCTATATTACATTATAACTACAACTTCTTGTAAACCCTTGTATATTTGATACACTATAAGCAGCAAGCTTCTGTATGTGACATTTCGTACCCCAGTCACTATGTTTTCGATCAAAATATTTGTGGTTTTACCGTCTGATTTAACGGTTCCGGTTGTCATTCTGAGTTTCATTACGAGTTCCTTGCGGCAGATTAAATAGAATTTCATAAGTTCGTGGGTACATGTTATAAGCTGCAGATGAAAATGTTGACCTGTGTTAACACAATCTGGAATGCTAAATCTAACACATAAAATTCAACACCATCAACTATTCATAACAAACAACATAATAAGAATATACTATAAAAAGCCTGGAGGTATAAAATCTCTGATTTTACTCGTTTGACACTAAAATCCAGTTTAGTGTGC